TTTGGCTTGGGGAACAGAATGCACCATGGGACAACCACAGAGATTTCTCTCCAGACGAGGTTTCTTACTTGGGTGATGTGTCTGCTCTCCTGACTGTCTTCATACCCAAAGGATATATTTTCCTTTTGGAAATATTTTAAGTTGAAATCTTGTTCCTTACTGGAAACTGTCTACACTAAAGACTGCGCGCATCATGGGTGATATGGCAAACAACTCGGTTGCATATAGTGGCGTAAAAAACGCTGTAAAAGAAGCTAATCATGGAGATTTTGGAGTTACTCTTGCAGAACTCCGTTCTCTTATGGAACTTCGAGCTGCAGATGCACTGCATAAAATACAGGAGTGCTATGGAGATGTACATGGCATCTGTACAAAATTGAAAACTTCACCAAATGAAGGTAAGTCAATGCTAACGCTGTTCCTGAGGAAACTCTATTTAGGAAAAACCTCAGTGAAGCAAACTACTTAATTCTGTAATATAACAAAGTTTATAATAAAATACTGCTGCTTACTCTCTAAGGCAGAGGTATTCAATGGTAATGAGCAAGCAGGAGTTTTTTTCAGTTAGTCTAAACTGCAGGTGAGATGTTGGATTAGTGATGAACTTCCTCTTTGGAATAAAAGTTCATTGCTGTAGGCATCCGCATATGAAATAAAAATACAACATAGTAACGTTTAACTTGCTGTGAAAGTGTAAGTTTTATGAATAGCTCATATGACCTGTAGTTCACAATTCGCACCATGCTGTTGTAGAACACAAGGTCTAATGCAGGGCTTATTAATGCTTCTGTGATGCTACCTAGTTCTTGTATTCTCTAATGCAACAAATTTTAAAACTCATGACATCTGTTTTCTATTTGTACTACATTGGATTCTTGATAACATTATCTAGTCTTTAAATCTGAAGTATTTGTGTATATTTCATTTGATCTATGCAAAATACCGATATAACTTTAGGCACTGAGAGGTGCTGTCACTATTACTAGAAGGTTTGCAAAGTGGTCGTGCACTCCTTTTGTCTATAAATAAGCATCACTAAGGAAGTCTTTGCCATGTTGGACTTGATGGCATTCTGTGAAGTGTGGCTGCCTGATGAAGAGTTATTCCAAGATGTATGTAGAGAAGGAAATAAACCTATCAAATCTTCTTCCTGAGAGCTTTACAGAAATTTTCTTTAAGATGTGGCCCCCTTTCATTACTAAGGCTATGAGCTTAGATTTTTGAAAGATGCAAGTCCTGTACAAATGTTTTTAATGTTTCTTAGTCTAATAGTAACTCAGTGTGATGTATTGCTGCTGGTAGTGACTGAGAAGTACCAAAATTGGGATCTGGGCAAATTACGATATCTCAGCATTTAAGGTCTCACATAGCTTTTAATCAGTGTCGTGTTGGTGGCAGTAAAGTACCTGCTGTCTTAATCCTGGAGAGCTGTTGCTTTCTGTTCTTCTGAAATGCAATGGAAAGCATTTGGAAAGGTTTGTCTCCTTGGATCAAGAGCAGCCTGCTAATACTACCAGGTATATCTGGGTACATCTGCATTTAGCATGTTTTGGCTTGATCTGCTTTTGAAGCCAGCCTTCTGAAATTATTTCAGTACATGAACTGGGTTCCTCTTACCAAGCTGAAAGTAGCCAGCTCTCATGCCTGACCTGCCAGTGAATGGGAGTAGACCAGTTCCAGGCTGACAAAGCTTCTAAAACATGAGGTGTGCAAATGTCCGTTCCTGGCATCAACAGAGTTGTAAAATTTAGTGCATGCTTGTGAACAACAGCTGCGTTGCAAGCAGTGTAACACCTGTTAGCTAGGAGCAGCAATCTCTCTTTGCCCTGTTAACCTGTTGCATAGCACTGAAAGACAGTTTCCTTTCTCAGTGAAGAGAGTTGATATTTTTTACAATTGGGAATTGAGAGAGTTGAATCCTATTTTACAGTAATCTGCAAGGCTTATGGCACATTATTACTGAATGATATCTGGGTCTACAGCTGTAGACTGCAGTGATGCACTAAGTACCAAATACCTGGTGTACTGCAGGATTCACTTAATGTCCCATAATGTAACAAGCAGGTTAACACCTGGAAATGATGAGTGTCAGCATACTAAAACTATCGAAAGGGTTAGATGTCCTTTCCTGCAAATTGATTCTGCTGTACTGAGGATTGAGTGATCAAGGCCTTCCCTTTCAAAAGGGTTTGACATTTAGATGTATTGTACTGCAATCAGTTAAATACAATCACTAACTTGATAAAAGGGTGCCATTGTTTTTTGAAGTGTAAGAGCAGCTCATATACGCAGTAGGACCTCAACAGTTGAACGTGATAATTAGCTCAGAAAAGGTTAAGTAAGATGAGTTAGAGCAGTGTCCTCTATAAAGGTGTCATTTTGGCTCTAAATCACTACATGAAACTTTAAAGAACTGTAAAGCCTCTCTGTAAAACAAGCTGCTATAAATTTCTCGGAGGGTAGTACAGGAGAGCTCTTGTGAAAGTAGAACTAGGTCTCTTCTTTTGTCAAGTTCAAGTTGTAAGTATAGAAATTGAGACGTTCTAGAAGAAATCTAGGCAAGATTTATGCAGAAAACTGTTACACTAGTTGTCGCTCTCTAAAATCTCGTGTATCTACCTGCAAGACCCGATGACACTTCCTTCTATTCAGAAGGGGTTTTTTTTTAACTGTATGAAAGGCTGACCTGTGTAATTATCAATGATTCACAGTGAAAGAACAGGTAGTTCTGAAACTGTACAGTGGATGAGTTCAGCTTGTATAATTTGTTGCTTTGAAGTTACTGATATGTAAGTCAGTGTCTGTTTTCAGGCAAAACGTGGATCAGACCTGTCTGATTTGAAGTGGGAAATGAGATCTGTCCTTTACCTTTTTGTATTACTAAAACCAGACACTGAGCAGACTTAACTGCTTAGTGTTTCATGTTTACTATGTCCTTTGCATGTGTGCAAATGTGAATAAATGAATGTTTGACATCTATAGTAGGAAAAGTCCTTGTATTCTGGAGAGGTGGACCACCATCAGTATTTCCACAGGTCAACATAAGTTTGATTTTTCTAGTAACTATTACTTCTAGATTTCTAATAAAATTTGCATATGAAGCTTTACCTATTCCCTTGCCCAATATTTTTCAACTTAATACCAAATAACATAAATTAGCCTAGTTAAGATACATAATGAACAATGTAATGGCGGTAATGTTAACCTCAGGACTATAGATAATGAACTGTGGAATTGCCAGCTGTGTGGTAAATGTATCAAGTTTGGTAATGGTGCATGGTGTATTATGGTGAATACTAAAAATACAAAAGCTTTTTGTCTTTGCATGGCTTATTTACTAATCTTCACTAAGTGGTTCTTGTCAGTAGCTTGACTTCTTATATGTACATATATATATTCATTCAGAGCCCATTGCTGCACACTTGTGATACTTGCATCCTTTCACTGTGTGCACCCTGTGAAAAGAAGAAGAAAGTGGTGCTGCTGGCATTATGTAAATAATCTTCCAAACTTTTCCATGCTAAAAGGAAGAGAGAAATGGTATCTGTTGCAAAGTAGCAATTATGGTCCAGCCTTTTGGAATGGCTAAGCTGTTCTGAGTTTCTCTAGATCTTCCTGTGTAGCTCGATTTTTGAAAATGGTCTTGCAGCACTTTTGAGAGTGAAAGTAAGCATCTCAAAACTTGAACTTCAAGAAGTACAGTCTTAGGAATAACAAGTAAAATTACTCCTTTGTATTATACTTCCAAATCCATGAATTCAAGGTAAATTAATTCTAACACTCTCAGATCTATTGTTGACACTAAGTATGTTTAATTTCACTTCTGAAAAGATCTGCATGTAATATTTTGCGTTTCAGTTGAGTGATTTCATAGCAGTTGTTAGCAAAAACTAAAAGTTTAATTAAAGTTACTAGTTTAAAACGAAGGTTTGCAGTTCAGTGTCTTGAAATAACATCTGACGGTTCCAGGAAATGCCTGTTAGAGGTGTTAAATACCCCACTTACTATGAAAGCTAGTTGCAGTAGTCACTTTCTTATTGGTTACCTAGCATGTTTGCAGTGCCTTTATCACTAAACAGATGGGTTAACTACTATGAAAACTGCTTTCTTTAAGCAGGTGCTGATCATAACCTTGGAGGCAATAGGTTTGAAACATCCAGACCTTTGCTCTGAACGTGGCTGGATGTTTGGCCTCTTCGCTTTGAAAAATGAGCTATTGGCAGCAGGAAACTGTTGAAGGAATACACAGGAGGTGTATTTGCAGAAGTCCTTGAGTGCATGACTTTGTGCTGAATATACTTGTTATTTTTCTTTTTTTAAGGACTTTGCTAACTTTTGAAGCCTGTGGTGCCTTTTAGTGAAGGCCATTCACTCACTATTGCCAGCTAGTGTCCCTTAAAGATGGTACAAGAGTTGAGGCAGAGGAGAGGACTCAAAGAAATATGCCACATAAGAAGTAAGATACGTATAAACCTGAAGTGACAGACCCTGCACAGTGCTAAATGTGGGCTGTCTCTGTGTGAGAGGAGGTAGAAAGTGAAGGTTCAGAAGTGCAAACAATTAAGTGTCCTGGCAGAAGCAGCATCATTAAGTGGCTGCTTCTCTCCACATGATGCCTGGAGAGCTTCACCAGCTAATAGTTAATAGAATTTTCTGTAATAATTAAATAATACTGAGTTATAATATTTATGATATTTTTATTAATTACATTAAATATGTCATTATAAATGCTACATTAATTGTAAGATCCTAGGATGTTATCTCTGAATATAGAACCCCTGCAGTGGGAACCAGAGCTGGCTTCACAGGCTGTAGTCTTGCTAAAGCTTCATGGTGATACTCAGTCTCAATAGTAATAACTCTACTAATGATCTTGTCTTGCAAACTTGTTTACTTGGTACAAAGGTGTGTCTATTACTATTACCTTGTTGCTATGTCATATTAAATGCAAATAGGTCGACCATCAATTTACTTTATATTGGCAAAATGTGCATTATAAAATATAGCTGGTTTTCTGTAGTGACTCTGCGTTAAGGATAATATTGATACTACTTTTCAGTATTGTTACTGAGTTACAGAGTGGGACTTGACTCCATAAAGGTGAGAGTGAAATGCAAGTAAATGTCACTAACTTTGTCTTATTATTAAATAGGTTTAAGTGGAAATCCAGCAGATATAGAAAGGAGAGAAGCAGTTTTTGGGAAGAACTTTATACCTCCTAAAAAGCCAAAAACATTTCTTCAGTTAGTATGGGAAGCACTGCAGGACGTTACACTAATTATATTAGAAATTGCAGCTGTAGTATCCTTGGGCCTTTCTTTTTACCAGCCTCCAGGAGGAAATGAATCATGTAAGTAAACCTTTTAAAAAGTAGGTCTCTACCTGTATTATACTACTGACTTTCCTCATCTACATGCCTATACTGTAAATCTGATGGGAGACAGTCAGGGAAAAAGCAACTTATTGTTCCTTATCAAGAGAATGATACTAAAAGTCTAGCTTACTGTAAAAGGGCAACATGAGATTTCCCTCGTCATGATCTGGTATCATTCTGACCAAAATAATGCAAAGGTAAAGTTCAAGCAGCAGGAACAAGGACTTGTCTTATATCCAGTCATGTTTCTGTGCAAGTGTTTTTTTAGCTTTGCCTCAAATATTTAAGCAATTCGTAATTTGTGGTCATGTGCTTTCTTTGGGGAGTCAGCAAGTCTTAAATTTTCCTTGATTTGCAATATGACACTGGTAACTTTCTAATTTAAGAGTTGAAGCTATATTTATACTTCTAAACGGAAAATGTAGGGATCTGGCCTTCATTGAACTGAACTTTTGCGGTGATATCTGGCTTGTTAAGATAAAGGTGAAGGGGGAAATGCTGCGACAGCAGAAGGCGGTGAATTAGTTGACTAGTATGACGTTCTTATGCCATCATTTAACAAGATAATAAGGACAAGTAACTTTCTCTACCAACTTCTTTTATATTCAGACGAGCAGGGATGTAAATTCTAAGTGGTTTAACTTCCTTGAACTGCTCTAGCTTAGTGGTTTAACTTCCTTGAACTGCTCTAGCTTTCAGGTTATTTAGCTTCTTTGTGTGTTACCCTGACTAAAAATAAAGGTAAAATTGTGAAGAAGGCTAGCATGGAAGATGTTTAGCAACAAATAGTAGTTTCTTCTTCTTGGCAAAACTTTTTTGTTGTTGAAATAATTATCTGCGTGAACTTTCTTAAATCTAAACCCTGTTTTCTACAGTATGTGGATCAGTAAATGTTGGTGAAGAAGAGGACGAATCTGAAACAGGTTGGATTGAAGGAGCAGCAATCCTCCTATCTGTAGTTTGTGTGGTATTAGTAACAGCTTTCAATGACTGGAGTAAAGAGAAACAATTTCGGGGATTGCAGAGCCGTATTGAACAAGAACAGAAATTCACAGTCATCAGAGGTGGCCAAGTCATCCAAATACCAGTAGCTGACATAATTGTTGGAGATATTGCACAAGTGAAATATGGTAAACATGTTTTTAAAGTTGAACTTTCTTTTATTTTCAAAAAAGGAACTGCAGTCAACATACCCAGTCATCTCTTGTAGGTGATCTCTTACCGGCTGATGGTGTACTCATTCAAGGAAACGACCTTAAAATCGATGAAAGCTCACTGACTGGAGAATCTGATCATGTTAAGAAATCCCTGGACAGAGATCCTATGCTGCTGTCAGGTATGTAGCATTTGACAGTTCTTCAAGATAGTGGGGTTTTTTGGGGTGGGGGGTAAACCGGTTATTTAAAATTTTGAGGTATACAAAAATAGTGCTTTGTCAGAGTGAGTAGACTCTTAAGCAACTACAAAAAATGTTTGTCAGTTTTATGGTTTCCTTTTCCAGATAGTTTTGGCAATTAAAGCTGCAGGAGAACACAGTGGTATACGTACACACCTTAGATTTGTCAATGTGAAGTTTGAGAGCTCTTTTCCTTTGTGCTTTGCTATATAACTGCTCACGTCTCAGTGGAAAACCTGATTGAATCTTTCAGGCACACATGTGATGGAAGGCTCTGGAAGAATGGTAGTAACTGCTGTAGGTGTGAACTCTCAGACTGGAATCATCTTTACTTTACTTGGGGCTGGAGGAGATGAGGAAGAGAAGGAGAAGGAAAAAGAGAAGAAGGACAAGAAAAGTAGGCATAATGATCTTAGATTCCTGGGGATGGAGGGATGAACTCCTGAATGTTACTGAATAAAAACATGTTCTAGTCATCTGGAGACAGAAATCTTTTTCTAAACCTCATATTTTCAGTGGGTTTCACTGAAAGAAAACTCAGGTCCAGTGATCTGAGAGTACACTACTACTAATAGCTCTTGTCATGTGGATTTTTAATTAAACTTCAGATCTCATTGAGCAATTAAAGGTTGGAAGGCTCTTGACCAGCCATAGCATGTATAAATTGTTAAACTGCCATCTTCTGTAATTTAGCTGTATACAATGTAAAGTGCATTTATGTCGAATAATAGCAAATATTTGTTTGTGGCAAACAAGTTATTACCAATAACTCAACTGGAGTATCTAGTTCTGCTTTTAGCAGATAGAAAATGTCCTTTATAGTGAGTTCTTCTATGATACTTAGAATTACAGAATCACAGAATGGTTAGGGTGAGGGGAAAAAGCTTGTATCATTGATATTGCTGAGTTTGTGGGTATCTTAAGTATATATGACTGATTCTGATAAAGATGAGCAGACACCTGCTTCTGCCACTCATTTTCTTCTAGAGCTGAAACTCTGAATGGTCAGAGATACACACAAGGCAAATCCCTAGTGGCACTTTTCTGTAAATGTTATTTTTGGAGGGATGAGGGCCTTCTGTGAAGTGTGAAATTCCTTATTCTGAAGGACTTGCTTAGTAGCTGGCATTATAAGGTCACTTACCTAAGCCGTAGCCTTTATCCTGAGAATCAAAGCTCTAGAAATGTCAATCACTAGCTTTCACAAGGCATGTTCAGGACTGAGCTGCACCACAACAAAAAAAAGTAATACAGAAATGTGCTTAGGAATCTTGCTAGCCTTCAAACTAAAAAGGCAATTGTTGAAATGTGTGCTCTGTGCAGAAATTAGGATTGAACTGTGCTTTTTGTTTTGTCCTAATCTACAAACAATTTACAGTTCTGACCCTTCTTGAAACCTGAAGTAGTAAGCTTCGGCAGAAGTAAGTTACAAGAGTTGTTACAAGTAGAACTGAAAGTTCAAAGTTAGTTTGAAGCTCAAGCATGGTAGTGAAGGTAAACACTTCCATGGATTAGTGGGGAACAGTTTCCATCCTTTGCTCTTTCCATTACAGAGGAAGGAGAAGGAAGCAAGCAGTACCTGCTGCTACAGGAGATATGAAGATTATAGGTTTTATTATTATTCTGCCAGCATTTCTTATTCTAGAAGCAGTATTTTTGACAAGTAGTGTTTAGATGTAACCTAGGGCCTGAACACTTAAGGGTTTTTTTTTGTCTTCAAGACACACAACTTCCTCTTTCCTTTAAGTTAGGTGCCTAATAAGATTCTCCTTGGTAAAACTCAGGTGAAACTAAATTAGCTTCTCTGCAAATGTTAAGGAGATTAAAGTAGCTATTTTTAGATGGCTGTGTATGGCTTAGTTCAGAGTGAAAGCACAAAGAGTAGAAGTAACTCAAGTGTAGAATTTTGCTCTTACAAGAGGGAGAGGGGCAATAGGGAAGAATAAATACTAACTTAGGATACAATGATGAGTTCTTGAGTCTGAAGTGGCTTCTTTTCTACTTTCTGTAGAAAGTGAACATGCTTTTTTTTCCCTTCCTCAGCTGTTCTGAGGATGCTTGAGGGACGATCTTATGTATAGCAATCAGACTATGTCTACAGCAGTAATACAGTGAAGGTATTAAATGTCATTCCAGACAGGCTGCTTGATATTTTGATTTTTTTTCTACCTGAGTGCTCTTACACGTTTCAGTCTACATAACTTAAGGCCAAAGACTTAATGAATTGCCAGTGGTACTGAAAAATTCTGGGGTTTGTTCGAAGTTCCTCACTTCTGTGCTTTCATTTCAGGTTATTGCAAATAGCAACTATAACACTTGCTTTCTCTATTTAGGAGAAATGTTTGTTGTCACTTGCCAGGGTAGTATCTAAACCTTTTTCTGTCAAAACCCAAATAAAAAGAGGTGGTGCCTGTTCTCTATTCCCCCTTCTCTCCCCCCCC